CCCCCCCCCCCCCCCCCCCCCCCCCGATAATGAAAAATATTGGAAGTTTGCATGTTCTCCTCGTGTCAGCGTGGGTTTCCTCCAGGTACTCCAGCTTCCTCCCACAGTCCAAAGACATGCAGGTTAACTGGTGACTCTAAATTGTCCATAGGTGTGAATGTGAGTGTGAATTGTTGTCTGTTTCTATGTGTCAGCCCTGTGATAGTCTGGTGACCTGTCCAGGGTGTAGCCCATCTCTCGGCCACTGTCAGCTGGGATAGGCTGCAGCAGTGGTGCCTCCAAAGCGTGGATGTATTTAAGTGAGGCGTCGCTGCCTGTCCAGTGGTGACTGTGCCACCAAAAGTTGGTATAATAAGCCGAAACAGGATCTTCTCTTAACCGTAACCAGGTGCCTGAACATAACCACACATTAACCACTGTGTTGTTGAAATGAAGACACATAAAGTTTCAACACATCCGCCACATAATAAGACACAAATGTTACATATTCGTGGTTTGCAGAATTGTACAATGCCAAGATTAATTCTGGTGATAACGTTAAGCGTGGCTGCAGACTCTCAGTCTGTCTTTTATACAATGTGGGTGAAAGAAAGAGCGAGCGTTCCTGTATGTGCAGCTGTGTTTTGTCACTGGATCAGCAAACATAAATTATTAAAAGCTGAAGCCCTTTGTGTTACCTTCCATAAAATCGAGAGCAGCTGAGGACGCTGTGTGCACAAGGTTTCAAACTGAAATGAGAACAACAGGACTTTTTTTTGTAACGGAGATGTTTATTTAGACAACTGAATGCATGCCAGAAAGAACTGTGTTACAGCAGCGGTAACTTTCAGCCCTCTCACTTTTCTAACTCTGAGGGAGAGACCCGAATCAGGGACACACCAAACTTTGGAGTTTTGGTAGAGAACACTATCTGCTCTAATTTATTGCGTTGACACATTACTCTTGTCGTGTATTAAGGGGAACAGGGGGACACAGGAGGGGGTACCACTGTTGAAAGTTGAAGCTTTGGCCAGAGTATCGTGAGTTGTTCATATCACTGTTTTGGCAAAAGGACAAAAGTAATTCACACCTTGCTTTAAGGGAACTTTACCTCTCACACAAAACACGTAAAGAGACGATTAAAAAAGATGCACTTACTGTAGGTAGCATTCACATGCAGTATAACGCGTCTTCTCCTTCAGACTAGATTTAACATTTTTCTCCACTATTTCTTACAGAGATTCACAGCTAATGTTTTTTCAGTTCGGGGATTTATCTTACACATAATGGCGACTGGATGAACAAAGACATGTTGGATGGATTTTGGGAGAACGAAATGTTGACAAAATTGTGCTTATCGTTTGCGGGATCTCTGTCAACCATTTAGTCGTGACACAAACCCCTGTACTCCTAAACGTAACCCTTTCATCCCCAAAAAGGGAATTCCTCGACACGATTTCAGCCAGTTGGTCCATCAAAGTTTTCTTATAGTTGCTGTTGCCATTGTTTCTCCATTATATTGATGAGCCAAAAATACCATAATATCAAAAATAAATGCAACCCTTTCACAAAACAATGAGCAATAAATAATAATCAAGTGGTGTTCTTGTACTGTATATGTACTGTATATACACAGAGAGTTAAGTTTGTTGTATATATGTACACAAAACAACTTTCAGACTGGCTTTTTTTAGCGTAGCCTACGACTGGAATTCGTGCCCGGAGTCTACGAATCCCAGGAAAAGCAACAACATAATAACTTACACAGAATCCTGGAGAGCTGACGGGATAATGCACAATAGACTACTATGTTGCTTGTAATTTTTGCCCCCCAAAATAGAAGCAGTGGTCTGGAAAGGAAAGGAAATATAAAAGAAAAAATGTTTTTTTAGGGTGTAAAAAAAAGCCTCTAGAATTCCATAAAATAACTAGCTTATTAAAACATTGATTGACAACAACATGCACAATTCCCAGCCTCGCGTGGAGAAGGTTATGATGAAGCACTTTCTCTGCACCGCGGCGCGACTTTGCAGTTTTTGCATGTAACAATGCTTCAGGTGCAACCCTTCCCTTTCCTCCTTTGAAGGTTGCTGTCGTCCGTCTTCACTCGAAGGACGAGACGGAAGGTTCTTTTCTGCTCAAACGCTTCTTCAAAATAAGAGTTTTTTAAATCCGCTATCTTGCAGTTCACATGCTCAGGTCACAGAGGGCGGCAGGTCGCATCGTCTCTGCTCCCCGTTAACGTTTGTGTATCTATCGACTGTTCTCTCAGCACATTAAGTCCGTCTGCTCGCCAACAAACACCTCACTCAACGTTTTTGTCCCAGTTTTATTTTAGTAGCTTATGTACAGGAGGTTGAAGTGTCTGCCAGGCAGTATCCCAGGCAACCAGCCGTATCCTCACACATTTACAGTATGCATTCCAGTTTTTCAGTCCTCTATTCGTCTTTGTCCTCTTCACAGGTTATGTGTATGTCTCTGAATGAAAGCTCTATTGTCGAGTGCAGCTCATGGATTTCTACCTAAAAGTGTTGTTTGTTTATGGTTCTGCTGTTGTCATGGCGAGGTCACTGAATCATACGTTGGACACACAATCTATAGAATGTGTTTTGTGTGTATGTGTGTGGATGCATGGGTTTGTGCTTGTGTGTGACTGCATGTGTGCATCTCTGTGCTTTTTCCTCAAACGCTACGTGGGGGTCTTTGAAGCTCATGGGTCCTCCTGTTGCGCCCTTTCTTGTTTTCCTGCATCCGTCTCCACTTGGCCGCGTGCTGGCTGCTCGCCCGAGACCCCACCGCGGCCTGAGAGCCGGCCAGGCTGCCCTGTCCCTTCTGGCCATTTTGCGTCTTCTGATTGTTCTTAGGTGCTTGGCTGCTCAACGTACCCATATTTGGTTGACCTTTCTGGGTAGCCTGGCTCCGTGCTGGCCCTTCAGCTGTTGGAGCTCCACCCTGGGGCCATGACCTGCTCTGCGGCGGACCGGCTTGTTGCCTCTGGGCATTGGGAGGCAAAGCTTTAGGCTGTAACGCGAGGACGGTAGCGCCGGTGCTGTCAGGTTTACCCTGACTGCTCCCAGCGGGTGTCTTCACCCTCTTCTGTTTGCGCTCCTTCTTCCAAACTCGATCGCAAAACTCCTCCACGCTGTTGAGGTCTGGGTGGTCCAAGAGAGACAGGAAGTCTCGATACCACAGCCTGTGCTTGGGAGAGTGACCTGCCCCGCCTCCTGCACCGGATAACCCAGGCAGGATGTCACCCAGTTTCTGGGTGGGGATGACCTGGAGGTTGAGGCGCAGTAGGGGCTGGATGAAGCCGTGCTCGACAGCCTGGCAGTGGTAGACTCCTGAGTCAGACTGGGTCAGGCTGCGTATGAGCAGGCCCTGGTCCGTACGGAGCACCCTGTCATCTAGCTTGATCTGAAAAAAGACAGAGAGAAAGACAAAAATAAATAAGGAGCAAGAAATTAGAAAAAGGGACAGACTCTAAGGGAAAACAAGTGAGTTCCCATCTGGACTGAAGCTTCTAGAACTGTCAGATTCAGCAATGTCTCTATTCCAGATGTGTTTTAGGACATAAAAATACTGCTGGGAATAAAAATGTCAGACACACCAAACAGACATCAAAGAACAAGTGGAGATGAAGGTCAACATTTGCGTTGCCACATGTCGCCTGTGTCTCCACCAAAAAGTTACACTAAAAACACAGCAAAGACTACAGCCGATGGCCAACAAGCACGAACATTCTACATTTGCGTGAGAGGAAATAACTCTCCATACCAGCAGGTGGCAGTAGTCGGCATTCATCATTCAAAAAGGGAAACTGGAAAACCGTCGGGACGGATAGAAGAAGCTATTTAGCCAGTTAGCACAATAACAACACAACCCAATGTTAAAAGGACAAAGGAAGATTACTGTATGCTAACAAACAATAACACAATTACAAACTTCCGTCAACCAAAAAGTCAACAAAGGCCAACAAGAGCTTATAGTGTGCAACAAAAACTAGGGTAACAGACACTCAAAAACAACTCAACATTGGCCAACGCCCCACCATCGGCTTGGGTTTTCGCAAAAAATTCAATGACCCACGGTAGTTAAAAAATCGGAAACGTACATCTCATCCTACTGTTATTAAAAAATCCAGAATCTATCATTACACAAACAATTTACAAAACAATCACACTTCTGTAAGTTGCAACAATGAGCTTCCGAACGAGTTGTGATGTCACAAAGTCACACTTGTACATACAGTAAAGCATGTCCTGAACTCATATTTAAGGTTAGAAAAGAACACATAAACTCTTCCCTTCCAGCACATGAATATGAATAAGCCAGTGAATCTCAACAAGTGAAGCGACCACGCAGTTTCAGCACAAGCTGAAGCTTACATACAACAGCACTGTGTGAAAAATTGCTCCCATGTCATTGATCTGAAAGGGACTATTGTGTTGAAGCAGTGAGGATAAATGGAGGGATCCGGCGTATAAAGAAACATGAGATAAGATGTTTATACAAGATTAAAGGATTGCTGCTGGGATATCTGCCAAGAGTGTAAAATCCTATCTCGTAATATTAAAACCTGCTGTGCGGTGGGTTGCGTCTGATAAGCCTTAAAGGAATATGTCACCCATAAAGCCGAGGATCTTGGCTTGGTGAATCCAAACTAACATTTTTTAACACAAAAGTCACACAACAACACAAACAAACTGCCAATCGAGGCAGTGGTAGACCAGCAGCTCCTGTGTTCAGCAAGGTAAAATTACTGTTTTTGTCAATGGAGTCTGGCTTTGAAGAGAGCATAGATAAGTTTCACTTTCAGATTAGTTCCCTGTCGCAAAAGGATGCATGTTTGGGAATTACAGAGCGAATTATTGGATAAATGAAACTTTGATTATGCTGCAAGAGTTGAGTGAGAGTTTGTAAACAGATGTTTTGATATTGTTTTGTTGTTGTTAAACACGGACCCCTTTTACTCCTAATTAATCAAGAATTCTTTTTCCGTTTTTGGATTTTTCGTTCACTGTGAAGGCGAATTATTTTTACGTTGTTGGATTTTTCGTTCACTGTGGAGGCGAATTATTTTTCCGTTTTGGGATTTTTCGTTCACTGTGAAGGCGAATTATTTTTACGTTTTTGGATTTTTTTGTTCACTGTGGAGGCAAATCATTTTTCCGGTTTTGGGATTTTTTGTTCACCATGGAGGCGAGTTATTTTTCAGTTCTTGGATTTTTTGTTCACCGTAGAGGCGAATTTTTTTATCCGTTTTTGGATTTTTCGTTCACTGTGGAGGCGAATTATTTTTCCGTTTTGGGATTTTTCGTTCACTGTGGAGGCAAATTATTTTTCTGTTTTGGGATTTTTTGTTCACTGTGGAGGCAAATTATTTTTCAGTTCTTGGATTTTTTGTTCACTGTGGAGGCGAGTCATTTTTCCGTTTTTGGATTTTTTTGTTCACTGTAGTCGGAAAAACAAAGTCTTCCTACCATATTCGACAGAACAGGAGGTGAGTAACTGATACATAAATGATCATTTTATCGTCTAAATATTCCTTTAAAACTTGTGGATCTGTTCCTCAAACTGGACTTCCTGGATTGTATTTCTTCACCCTGAACGCCCGGTTAGACAAATACAGCCCCAGAAGAAAGTGAAGCAAAAGTAACTGGTTACATCACAGGGTCAAAAGTCAATCTAAACATCCACACCCCTAGGTTAGCCCCCTAGGGTGTTAAAGATCAAGGGGTCAGAGGTCATTACATGATAACACAGGAGAGGAAAGGTGTAGCCTTTGGCAGAGAGATGATGTTTTGTTTGCAGTGATTGAATTAGCGTGAAATCGAACTCATCCAGACTGGGATCCAGCTGTATTTAACAAAACTCAGCAACAACGTGAGAAGCATACACACCTCGTGCTTGCGGTCGTCGTTGGGCTTCTGCAGTTGCCAGTATATGAGCGCTCTCTGAGACTTGGGGCTGCACTCCAGGAACATGCTGCTGTTCTCCACGCCATACACGCTCCTGTCCTCCACGCTGCTTCCAAAGCCGTCCACGTCATCTACCCAAAACAAAACACATACAGGCAGGGGGGAATGAGAAGTGTGTGGCAAGAAGAAGAAAGATAGAGGTTTGATTCTCTGCCTGAGCCTGACTGGGCCGATTTTTGCCAATGTACTGGTGTTTTTTTATTTGTTTATTTTCTAATGAAACTGGCAGTTCTGGTGCAGAAATGGCAGAAGTTGTATTGGACTGAATCAAGAGGGAAAGAGAGGAAAAAGACTGCAATACAGACGTGACAGAACAATCAAGCAATATAGGAGAGAACAGAAAGAAAAAGATAGGCTGAGCACCAGAAGCGGACAGAAAACTAGAGAAAACAATCTGACCGTTGTGACAGATCAGAAACTGAGAAAGATACTGACTATGTACAGACTCAGTGATCACAGACTGTTCATACAGACTGGCAGACACAGGCAGACCTGTGACAGGCGGTGTCAGCTCTGTCCTCAGAGACAGAGCAACATTTCCTGCTACAATGTGGCACATATGAAGACATCAGAACAAAATTCTTCACAAAAATTGAATGTGAATTTTGATTCACTCTCTGACCAGACGACAATGCAACATCTACTTGGAGAAAATTGTGTCAGCGCTATAGATGCAGCAAAACATGTCAGTGCAGGGCACAGCCGAAGAGACAACCAGCACAACAACGTATAGCTCATTTCATCACAGATCACTTTCTCCTTTAAAATGTATGTCTATGTCAATAAAGCTTATTGAATTGAATTGAACTGAACTGAGAAAGAGGACCACAAGGCAACTTGGTTGGCAGTGTCTGCTTTGGCCTCCCCAGCAGTGGAAAAGGTGTGTGCAACATCATCTGTGCACCGCATTGCCATGGACCACTGTGTGCACTCAATGACGGAGATGCACCAAGGTTTGCAGCCATAGATTTTAATAATACCTAGGTACCAGACCCCAAGATGGCGCCTTTTCTTTCCGATGGAATAGCTCGTCTAGCACATACAGTACAGGCCAAAAGTTTGGACACACCTTCTCATTCAATGCGTTTTCTTTATTTTCATGACTATTTACATTGTAGATTCTCACTGAAGGCATCAAAACTATGAATGAACACATGTGGAGTTATGTACTTAACAAAAAAAGGTGAAATAACTGAAAACATGTTTTATATTCTAGTTTCTTCAAAATAGCCACCCTTTGCTCTGATTACTGCTTTGCACACTCTTGGCATTCTCTCTATGAGCTTCAAGAGGTAGTCACCTGAAATGGTTTCCACTTCACAGGTGTGCCTTATCAGGGTTAATTAGTGGAATTTCTTGCTTTATCAATGGGGCTGGGACCATCAGTTGTGTTGTGCAGAAGTCAGGTTAATACACAGCCGACAGCCCTATTGGACAACTGTTAAAATTCATATTATGGCAAGAACCAATCAGCTAACTAAAGAAAAACGAGTGGCCATCATTACTTTAAGAAATGAAGGTCAGTCAGTCCGGAAAATTGCAAAAACTTTAAATGTGTCCCCAAGTGGAGTCGCAAAAACCATCAAGCGCTACAACGAAACTGGCACACATGAGGACCGACCCAGGAAAGGAAGACCAAGAGTCACCTCTGCTTCTGAGGATAAGTTCATCCGAGTCACCAGCCTCAGAAATCGCAAGTTAACAGCAGCTCAGATCAGAGACCAGATGAATGCCACACAGAGTTCTAGCAGCAGACCCATCTCTAGAACAACTGTTAAGAGGAGACTGCGCCAATCAGGCCTTCATGGTCAAATAGCTGCTAGGAAACCACTGCTAAGGAGAGGCAACAAGCAGAAGAGATTTGTTTGGGCCAAGAAACACAAGGAATAGACATTAGACCAGTGGAAATCTGTGCTTTGGTCTGATGAGTCCAAATTTGAGATCTTTGGTTCCAACCGCCGTGTCTTTGTGAGACGCAGAAAAGGTGAACAGATGGATTCCACATGCCTGGTTCCCACTGTGAAGCATGGAGGAGGAGGTGTGATGGTGTGGGGGTGTTTTGCTGGTGACACTGTTGGGGATTTATTCAAAATTGAAGGCACACTGAACCAGCATGGCACCACAGCATCCTGCAGCGACATGCCATCCCATCCGGTTTGTGTTTAGTTGGACGATCATTTATTTTTCAACAGGACAATGACCCCAAACACACCTCCAGGCTGTGTAAGGGCTATTTGACCAAGAAGGAGAGTGATGGAGTGCTGCGGCAGATGACCTGGCCTCCACAGTCACCGGACCTGAACCCAATCGAGATGGTTTGGGGTGAGCTGGACTGCAGAGTGAAGGCAAAGGGGCCAACAAGTGCTAAACACCTCTGGGAACTCCTTCAAGACTGTTGGAAAACCATTTCAGGTGACTACCTCTTGAAGCTCATGGAGAGAATGCCAAGAGTGTGCAAAGCAGTAATCAGAGCAAAGGGTGGCTATTTTGAAGAAACTAGAATATAAAACATGTTTTCAGTTATTTCACCTTTTTTTGTTAAGTACATAACTCCACATGTGTTCATTCATAGTTTTGATGCCTTCAGTGAGAATCTACAATGTAAATAGTCATGAAAATAAAGAAAACGCATTGAATGAGAAGGTGTGTCCAAACTTTTGGCCTGTACTGTACACCAGAAAAGTTTTCTAGCCCCCAGATTTTCTTCCCTGGTATGCTGCTCGCTGAATATGAGCAGTATGGCCTGCCATGATTTTCCGCTCAACTCATAGTGTGACATTTTTTGGTGGGCAGGGCTTAACCGGAGACAAAAAAATTCTCCACAGACTAGTGATGGGATTTCTCGTTCACTTTGAAGAGCCAGTTCAAAGATGTGGTTCGTTCGTTCGTTTTTTTGTTTGTTTTTTTTTTGCTGTGTGTATGTGTGTGTGTGGGGGGGGTTAGTCGTTTCAATGACGAATCGCATTGCTGATTTATCGCATCACGTGATCTGGATATTGTAACGTGGACCCAGAATAGACTCCGCAGATACAAAGTTTGGTGTAGGTAGCCATAGCAACGCCCTTCATAAACAACAGGCCTGTCAATACAAGCAAGTGCTAGCGGATAGTGGGTTAGCTTCGTACTAGTGATGTGACGTTCGCGAACAAGCCGAGTCTTTGAACCAGCTCTTTTAAGTGAACGAGTGAGCGGCTGCACTGTCTTTCTCCCTCACAGAGTAGTCTCTTTCAACTTATTGCGGATAAAATAATCTGAAATAAATGGACACACAGTAAATTCAAGCAAAAAACAAAGAAATTAGGAACTGGCTCGTTCACTCTAAAGAGCCAGTTCAAAGACTCGGCTCGTTCGCAAACGTCACATCACTACAACAGACATTAGCTAGGAGTGCATGTGTGATTAACTTAACTTGTTGATTCAAAAAGAAATCTAAAGCTCCATTTCCTAGACCAACAGGACTTTCATTTTAATGTAGAGTGCGAGACTGAATTTTTGAATGCACTATGTCAGGTCACTCACTCTCCACCTCTCTCCGTGAGCGTTACTTGAAAAGGTAAACACTGACCAACGGGACCAGACTGGCCGACCCGTATGCTCTCACTCAGTGGATGGATGAAGTCACAGGAAGCTTTGTGGTTGGTTACTATGCCAATCTTACAAAGGAGGACGACACTTGAACAGTTTTCTCCAGTTTGTTTTGCTATCGAAGCTAACATTAGCTAATGTGCTAAAAAGTTAGCGTTACAGAGATATCTAATATTCCTCTTAATACCTCCCCAATTTATAATGACGTGGACATGACAACCCCTTAATACACATAACATTATTCATCCCTACAACAGGAAATACTTTTTCCCTAACCTTATATGAAGTGTGCGCTGCACATGTGAGCATTTTTGATGATCACTTCCATCCAGTCCTTTCGTCTTATCACATTTAACCATAGTTGACTTTGTTTTTGTTGACGGGCTCCTTCTATTCTGGCTCCCAATAACACAACAAGACGACATTTTAAGACTCCTATGTAGCCTACAGCCCTGTGGTGTAGAGTCGTGTTTTGCCTCCAGTTTACAATGGATTGTGACATTGTGACATCAGCCCTGAAAGGGTCTATAGATTTTAAATTGTGATGATGTCGTAGTTTTTAATGCCTTTTTTTTTTCAGCTCCAGAAAAGTTTTACAAACACAAATCCACCATGGATCAAAAATTCATAACAGAAAGACTTATAATTGTCCTTGTTTGCAGTTCCAGGTTTCCTGTCAACTGTTTTTTATTTTATAATAGTGGCCTATTATATGGGGAGAATGCTTTTTTCCCACTACAATACAGCGAATGGCCACTGTAAAAATTGGCTGCAAGGCTGAGCAGCTTTCCTGGGGGCCTGGGTGCAGCCCGTTCGGCTGAACCTGTTGAGCGTGAGATGTAGAACCAGGTACAAACTATTGAAGTAACATAAGGAAGAGAAGAAGGAGAAGTGGTGCGAGGAAACAGATCATGCCTTAGCTTTAAAAAAAACTGATTTTAACCAGGCTTGGGCCCAGAACTGCTGCTGTGGTTTGGGCTTGGAGAGCTTTTTTTGGGTTTGATCAAAGCTCTAAGAAGAGAGTGTTTGTGTTTGTGTGTAGTCATTAAAGTACCATGATGCTGAAGGTCTGAGCACTGGGACAGAGGGTCTCCGTTTCTGATATCCTGCCGTCTGGTTCGCCTGGGAAGAAACCACAGTGACAGTTAATGGCAGTAGTGGGTGTACTGGTGATTTAAGCAACACATGTTCTACAATATAGACCAGAAATGCACTTGTCATTATGTTCTGCTCACTGTACTGCTTTCATTCAACCACTAGGGGGCAATGTTACCCAACACTATTCCACATTGAGCTTTTAAAGCCTGGAGAGTGGGTATTTATTGAACCTTCACTCCACTGTTAGTGCAAAAAGCTGGCAGAATTGTTAGAATCATAAACCTGCCGAGCAATGAAACAGCGTGCTTCATTGCCTTCTGATGAGCCGTTATTATGAAACACATACAGCATTGTTTCGCCCTTGAAAAGCCTTGTAAAAGCAGCCCCGCTCTTTGTCCTCTCACTATGAAAGTCCACTATGTCATTCAGATTTTTTTTTTTTTTTTTTACAGCGACGGCGAGGCGTTTTCATATCCTGGCTTTACTGACTAAATTGCAAATGTGTCTCCCCTGTTCCTAGTTGTCATGGTGGCGTTTTAAATCTCGCTGTAAAAATCAAAGCGGGGAGGAGAGGCGGGGTAAGCCAAAGGTGAGGCGAGGGTTGGAAAGAAGGGAATGAAGTAGGTAGAGGAAAAAAAGTAGACGCCTTAGAGGTAAAAAAGAAACAGATGGAGTGGTCAGTGTGTGTGTGTGTGTTTGTGTGTGTGTATTCTGCACACACAACCCTTATTTCTGTGTGTCATACATGTTTGGACACTCGTCTTTGTGTCTCTTTCTCACACATGTCCCTCCTCTGTTCGTTTCCTGGCCTAACATTCCTGTCTTTTTTGGCCGTCAGAGCACGTGCGGGCCCGGGTGTCTGGTTCTCATTCTGGAAGGGAAAATATTTGCAGTGTGGAGGAGAGCGGAGAGGAGCCGGCCCTGGCCTTAACTATGGGGTGTGCCACCTCCTCTGTAACCCTGCCAAGCTGGAGTATACCCACTGGCCTACTTCTGCTGGTGTGAGAAGTTCTGGATGAATGAGATGCAGGAGTGTAGTGCTACGTGTGTGTGTGTGTGTGTGTGTGTGTGTGTGTGTGTGTGTATGTGTGTGTGTGTGAGGGCCGTGGTGGTCAGCCTAATCCCGCTGGATACAGCAGAGGGTAATTTGAGGGTGTGTATGTTCATACCTCCTGGCTGCAGGGTCAGACGGCTCCTGTTGGCTATAATTTAGTGTGTGTGTGCTTGTGAAGATGTATATTCATGCGTGTGTTTTTATGACCGTGTGTGTGTGTACATCTTGGCTGTAGGGCGACGGGATCACAACTCCGAACAACTGTTGCTGGCAGAAGTTACAACCCAGGTTGTACCTCTTGGAATGCGTGCTCGGCCTGTGTGTATTTAATGACTGTATTTTGTGCCCGTGTAATATTTTGACTCCGGATTACTTCCATGTTTAGATGTTTTGGCATGTACCGTGTAACCGTGTGCATTAGTGGAGGTCTGAGTTTACAGAGACAAAGTGTAGATGCCCTTGAGCAAAGCATTTAAAGGCGATTGCAGCAGCAGACTGCAGGTGCACTGATAACTCCCAGGTGTTACTGTGTATGACGGCATGACCACAAAGGCAGGATGTTGCTGAGAAGAAGCATGCAGGCTCAGCAGGATAAATAAAGGTCAAAGTTTTGTTTGGTGCGTGCATGCTCCTACCTCTTGGCGGTAGGAAAGTATCTCGAGCACTCAGCGCCGTCCCAGGCGCAATAAGGGTCTCTGGCCAGGCAGCACTCGGCGCAAGCTTTCCCATACACCTCGCAACGGTGTAAAGACATCTGCGATACGCCCAGGCCCGAGCCAAGGTACAGCTGTTGCTGTGGGAGCAAAATACAGAGCGAGGATGTAAAAGTTAGGTATTCCTGTGAGGCTCACTTGGAAAGGCTCCTGTAAAAGAAGGTGGCTGTGGCTTTGGCTCTCAGTAGGCACATTAGATTTCTTTGTTTTTGCATATCAGTGTTTGCATTAAGGCCCTGAAGTTCTCCATTTTTAGTTTAGTTTCAAACCCTGTCAACGACTTCATGATAAATTATTGTGTGTGGAAACTTTAGCGGCCTTTACCTGCTTGGTGGACAGCTCCATCGCAGTAATGGGAGTCGGCTCCTGCACAAAACAAACACAGCACAGCTGCTTTATTACCACATCTACGGACATCCTGTGTATTTATAGGCAGCAGCTTCATAAATTGTTGTTAACACTCAATTTTCAGCGTCGTACCCTGAAGACAGTCATCTCCTCCAGCACCACCTCCTCCAGGTCGTGCCAGCTCTCTCTGGGGATCGTCACCACCTTCAGCACCGTGCCCATGTCTGAAAGAATAAAGACATTCAGATACAGTTTATGTGTATACAAGTCTGTTATCATCATGTATGAATAAAATTTGTTTCAAAGTAGTGAAATTCACAGTTTAAAGTCCTGATCAGTGGCTGCTACTAGGTTTTTGTTTGTGATTTGTTACAATATAGATGCCATTGTAAAGTCAAAGATTTGTTTAGTTTGTATTATAATGCTGAATTACAAAATAATGCTTGAAATATTTAATATCATTTCTCAGGAATATTTTTTAAATTGAAAAAATTAGTTATATACAGGTTTGAGTTAAAATAAAAATGTAATTTATCAGTTTATTTTGTATATTTAAAAAGATAAAGTAACAGGAAAAATACATAAAATATACAAATGGTACCAAAATATACAAGAGCCTGCTTGCAAATCAAATTTCTTTCATAATAGTAATAATAATGAAAATGACGCTGGATTGGGACGCATCATCGGAGCTCATTTTCTCCTCATTTCTCTATTCACATTTCTGAACTGTGCTCATACTGTGGCAAGAGGACTTAATTTACAGTGTGGTGATCAGTTTTCTTGCAGCAGGAAACAAAACACCTTATAAATGCACAGGGACATGTAATCTTTGTTAAAGATATACACTGCAGGATTTTCCTAAAAAACAATGTATAGACTCATACACAAGTCATCTCTTTCAATCATCATTTATGACATCATTATGTTTTCGGGACGTGTTCGAACAGCACTCAGGTGAGGTCAGAGCTTTATGAAAAGGTAGCCAGATAGATAGATAGATAGATAGATAGATAGATAC